TTCCCTTAATCACTCCTTTTCTTTTACTGCATTACTTTCCTTCTTTGTTTTCCCTATATATGTGCGCTTATATTTTTCCCTATATCTCTCTGATTATATCGTTTCTGCTTTTATCTTTGTTCAATTTAATAATTAAAATTGAATTAATAAATATTGGACATCTTAAAATAAATTTTTAATTTGGCATCTATTTTAATTTGTGCATCTATTCACATTTGTGCATCTATTCACCCACCTCTAGATGTCATTTGTCTAACAATGGGGAGTTCACCAATATAAGGGAAAATAAGGAGTATAGTTAGAATGTAAAAAGAGACGTTGGGAGGGATCATCCCGAGCACATCTAATTTTAAAGAAACGACTTTTGAAATTTTTAAAGGACGATTGAAAGAGGGTGAATAAACCACAATATTAAGATTCGTTCAAGGATACCCAAGTGATCTTTTGATCATGTTTTAATTGGTAAAAATATAAAATTTATTTTTAGTAGGAGATAGGCCCAGAACATCACATAAATTTTGGAAAGCTTTTAGGAAAGCCCAAATGTTAGGATAAAGTTGGCTACGGGCATCATTTAAAACAAAGAGTACATCACATTTAAAACTTGTAAAAGGAACTTGAATATCTAAATCTTTGAAAAAACATTCATATACAAAAGTAATGTCTTCACCATTCAAAAAAGGTTTCATGAAACTCGATTAGAAGAATGATAGGGACCAACATTAACATGTTTTTCATCAGAGTTAGAACAAACACCATAAACTTTACAAATATCTTATTTCGAAGAAGAGGAATTGAAAACAGAAGAATAATGAGCAACTTCCCCAAGCACCCAACTATACTCAGTTCCTATAGAGGAACTAGGCCCACTAAAGGTTCAATCAAACCATTAGATTCAGAAGAAGACATAATAATAGAGATGTACCTAAGAAAGGGTTGAGATTGAAATTCTTGATGGAAAATTGAAAAGATATGGAAGCTTAAAAAATTCAAGGAAGTGAAGAATTAAGAAGGATACAATGAGTAGTAAAGGGAAAACAAAGGTTTCAATTTAATCTTGCACCCTATTTTTGAAGAAAAAACCCTTGAAAACGTAAAATTATTACAAAAACCCCTCATTAATGCTTTGGCAGACGTCATCTTAGCAAATGTCAAAAAGAAATCTCAAGTTCGGAAGAAATAAGCTCGAGAGAAATATGCTCGGTAGATAAGGTCAAATAATTTTATAGTTCATACATCTTCATTACAATTAGATCAGGGCTTATGTTCCTATCCAAATTCAATGATTGGAATATCCTGCTGAATTAACACCACTTTAATGAGTATTAATAGGATAACATATTAATCAATGGTTAATATTGCAATAAAAACAAATTATTAACATTAAATATGAATCTTTATTACTTAAAATATTTATGGTAAGAAATTTATAAATAAGATCATTTTACCCGTTTGAGATCATCTTTTACTTTGATAGAAAAAAGATGTACACTTATTACTAATTTATGCATCAGAGTATCTTTGTAGGTAAACATCTATCTCGTTATTGGAGCAAGTGCAATTCATCTCATACTCAGACGGATACTTGTTCATGATCAAATTGGATATTCTGAGTTGTTCATGGTCAAAGTCAACAAAATTCGAACTGCTATGTTATTTATTTATCAACTTTATTTATAATTTTTTTGACAAGAACATGCATATTTAAATATTCAACTATACAAGCAACAATTTTTTGCCAATAACCTATGGACCTTACTAAATTGTTGAAAGAATTGGGAAAGTGGTATACAAATTGGATCTTCAGGTACACACAAGAATTCAAAGTATATTTTATGTGTCCATTTTAATGAAACACCATGGCAGCCATGTTGTTTCACAACAATTCCCATATTCACTAATGACAGAGACTTTGTTGTCAAACCTATGACTGTGTTGGATAAAAGGGTGAAAAAGAAGAACAACATGCATTAGGTATTAGTTCAATGTGAACAAACCAGTCCCAAAGATGCAATAGAAAGATTGCATGAACTAATCAATATCATGATTTTGAGTGGAGAGCGGTGTAAAGGGCATCGGACAAGTCCTGTTTTGTAGGGGGCAATTGTAATAAATGTATGCACACAATTAAATAATTCAATTAGTTGTTGTTTATCTAATTTGGGATTTTAAAAAACAGATTTTGTTGGAAGTCAAAATTATATATTAAACCTTTGTTATGTTTTTAAAAATGAGAAGTGTTCTCATTTTGTTTCTCTTTGCAATTTGATTATTTTTAGTGAGTAAAGAGTGACATACCAAAACATCTAAAGAGAATCTAATATATTTGATAATCAAAGAGAGAGAATGATGAAGAAAAGAAGAACAAGCATCTTTATTATACCAAAACTTCTAATATGGTCATAATTCATCCCACATACAGCATATTGAAGTATTCACAGACACTACATTATGAGTTTATGCAAAAATGTTATATTATATAAAAATAGATAATTATGTTAATATATTAAATTTGGATAAATTATGTTTTTCATACCATAATTATAAATATTTGTATTTAATATAATTAAAAAAATTTGTTTAATTTTTATATATTATTAATTATTTTATTATTTTTTATTATTAAAGAAATCATTATATATATATATATATATATATATATATATATATATATATATTCATATGGATCATTAAGTATACGCAAATTTAAATATAATTCAATAATTTCTTAAAAACAATTCATCATATATTATACAAAAATTCGTCAACACAGATCTCGCGAATCCACATTTGCGATTAGTTATTATCTTCTATAAAATTTTAATTTCTTGCAAAATCATAAGTATGAACATTACTTATTCATATCATATAAAATAATTAATTCTTTAACAGTGATAAAAATAATTAATATTATATAAAAATCATACAAAATATTTTAATTATATTAAATACAAATATTTGATATAATTATTGTATAAAAAGTATATCTTATCCTATGCAATTATATCATCAATAGATCATATTATTTATATATATTCTTAATATATATATATATATATATATATATATATATATATATATATATATATACTTTCAATATATAGTTGAATTTTTCTAAACAATTTATATAACTTGGCAAAACAAAGAACTAATTAGCAGTTATGTCTTTTCAGATCTTGCAGAATTTAGTGAGAAGAAATATAAAGAGCAACTCAAACTCATTTACTCAATAGAGTATTATACTACTTATAAGGATGCTGCTGATAAATAAGTTTAAGTTTGCTGCACTGCTTAACAAAAATGAAACAAAACTGTATGTTTATCAAATCCAAACATACCCTTGATATATAAATACTTTTTGTCTTGGAGTCTAAAGAATCCTGGAACATGTTACTCTACTGGCGACATGAAAAAATAGTGCCAACAACAAAGAACCACAAGATAACATATGCATTGTACGGCTGGAAGGATCTCTCAGTTGAACCAATCCTCAGTTGGCCTTTTACTTATTGCATTATCTTGTGTTTGTAAGAAAAAACACTAAAATAAATAATATGCTATATATCTGTCATGTAATTATTTAAATTAAAAAGTAATAAGAATATTCTTTTTACTCACTCTAAACATGAGTTTATATTAAAGTAGGCTCATCCCAAGACTATACATTCAACGTTAATGATGTATGTTTTTGAGTCCAGAGTAACCCTAAGGCTGTTTTCTTTTAACGTTACAATTCATATGCTATCACCACTCATCGAAATTTGGAAGGTGGATAGAACTAACTGGTATATGCTTAGTTATATAAGCTTCACACTTATAAGCAAGAGACAATGGAAATTTAAAATCTCATGAATCTGCAGTATGAAGAAAAAGATCAAGTTCCCTTTGCCACTTACCAAATAGCTGAGGAAGAAGTATATATATATATTATATATATATATATATATATATATATATATATATATATATATATATATATATATATATATATATATATTCAGGATCTTATCGACAATTAAAATCAAGGAACTGCAGTGGACAGATTTGTACTTTTTACATGCAGAATATACAGCAGATATATTTAACATTGTATTGCCTATGCTTATCATATTTTGTAACTGTGAACGAAAGGTGCAGACAAAATGCAACATCTGTTACCATTGAGCAACAATGGTAGCTTGCCTAGAAAACTCATTCAGGGAATTAGGTGCCCCAATCAGTCTGAACCACCTATCCTCTGTATGCGCCTTTGTCACCCTAAGGGATTTATTTTCAGAGGACTATAAATAAGAGTTATCCCTATTCATGGTTCTGAACTTAATTATTCAGTTATTTTGGAATGGTTGAAGTACAATCAGTTACTTGGGTTACCCTTTAACTTAAAGTGCCTTTGGGTTAGCTCAATATTGAACTTTCTGAGACTAATTGAGAATGAATCCATCACTCGCGTTAGATTCATTCAACATGGTTCAACGAGAACACGGACACACTAGGGTTTTTACATAAACAGACTTTAAGTTTAAAAGAAGGGATTAAGTCAATCAAAACTATTAAATCAATGTTTAAATTCTTTCGAAAAAGATATTCACATTTTATATTTTTTCTGAAGGAATATATATGGGGGATAAATGCAAACACACTCTTAGCAATGTTCCTTACATTCCACACCAAACATGTTGTATTTGAGAAAAGGAACTAAAAAATATCATTATCTAGGGATAATATTTAATATATGTGCTAGGGAACAAACCAACTTATAGCTCTCATAGTCTCATACAAAATCGGAGAGTTTTTCTGACACAATTACGCCATGATTCTACTTGACATAATTAAACTAGATTGAAGACAATAAGTAGTGAGCTTCAATACCAATTATATAATATCAACATTTATATGCTTTCCTAGCTAGCTTATTTACGCAACAGAGTATATATAGTGCTTGCTTCACAATATGCAGCAGCAGCAATTCAAAATTTATAAACTTGTCTTCACCAGTTCTTTCAGGAATGTGATCGTGCACTGTATCCAAAAGCCACTGAATGTAGGTCCTCCACTTCATGAAAACCCCACGTTCTCTTGTTTGTTTGCATGTCATAAGACATGGAATAGCTATTAGAACACTCATCAAAGCCAGAAAAGGAGCTATTTTCTTCCATGGCACCGCAATTTTCACAATTAACCCCAATAGGATTTAGATCTTCCATGAGAGCATTGTTCCCATAATGTTTTTGTGTTGATAAATTAGTACACATGTTAGGAGGAAATTCTGGCCCCTGGTTGAAATTTTCCACCTGAAACCAACTTTGGAGATCTTGCGGAAAAGCAGCTGAAGATTTTTCAAATAATTTTTCACTAGGGTTTCCATTGACAGAGGCATTGAGACAACTCTGAGCTGCTTGTTCCTTAAGGTTAGCCAGTTGTGCTTGTAAATTGACCACCTATACACAAACAATATCTAATTAAGCAAAAGTACATAGGCACCTGTGTATTAATTAATTTATAGTACAAATTAAGCACATATATCTGGGTAGGGCTCTCAATTATAAGTAAATTGTGAGATATATAGAGAAACGAACCTGTTGTTGGAGTGCAAAAATATGGGAGACACAGCCATAAATTGGATCCTGAAGTCTTGCTTGAGCTTCATATGAAATTGTGACTGCAGCTTCACAACGGTCACTGACAGGAAGGTGAGCAAGGAGCTTTGAGACATTGCTTGCACCAAAGACCTTATGAATGGCTGCAAAATGAGTAGCACCTTGCTCATGGCAAAAGTAAGGTGCAAAAACACAACCTCTCACACATTTTCTTCTCAAGAATTTGCAGGCTCCACAAGGAGATCCTGAACCAGTCATCTTGGACTTTTTAATTGGAGTTTGAGGATTCTAATTTGGAATTCTTTCTGGCTCTATTATCTCTTCAGCTTTGAGCTGATGATCATGATCATTTATCGCCATGTTTATATAAAGCGGAGGAAGAGGAAAGGATATATTAGATTAAGGAATAAATAATCAGGTTATGTTCCCTTAATGGCCTACACTGTTCATTATTTTTTCCTGTACAAAACGCTGCTATCCCCTATTCTAAATTTTTATTTTTATCCCGAAAATGAGATTCCATTCAGCATCCTTATACGACAAATGAGCTAGCGTTAACCAAACCCATTTTGTTTAAATGATGACTGGATCTATCTTTCTCTCGTCATTTTTCTCAATAATAATATGCATTGTTGCCTTACAATTAAGTGATAGCCGCAAGCGCATATTTATTAGAAACGGTATACTTGTTGCTGTTTGCTAGCATTTCTCCAATAGGGTTTTATTGCTAGTTCCAAGCTCCACTGCGCATTGGATCATTAACGAGAGAAAAAAAAAAGAAAAAAAATACTGAAGACGCGGTTAGCTAGGTTAATTCATCCATGATGGCACAAATTACCATATGCATGATAGTACTAGTTTCGATCACATTAATTAGACTAAATAACTACGACTGATATAGCGCATATGTTTCAGTTCATTGCTACTAGCTTAAACTAATAATTATACTGGCAGACATTGTAAAGTTTTACCCTGACAATTTGCCTCTTCGAGACTCTGACAACCTAGTGGGGATTGGTGTCTTTCAATGAGCACTTATTAAGGTTGTAAGTTGTAATGGGATTGAAATATATAGATTAAACACTCATTGAAACAAGCGTCAAGTGATCAACATTTGCTGGTGGCTTCTTCATGTTACAAGAATAATAGTTATCCTTTTAGTACAGGTAATCTAAGCATAAAAGCAACATAAAAAAAAAGACATAAAAGAGAAGAAGATTCCAACAATGAGTGAAACAAAAGATAGTGACACAAGTTTAAAGCTCAAATATGGCCAATTAAAAGAGATAAGGAAGGAGCATGAGAGAGAGAAGATTTTGTTGCCCTTTCAATACTTGGAATTGTTTAAGCCTGAAGGTCACGGTTTGTCTAGCAGTACTGTATGATTGTCATTTAATAAATATTCATAACTTGAATCACTTTCTTCTGTCTAGTATAGGCACCAACATGTAGACCTCACTCAAATGGCCAAATGAAAATTTGAGGTCCCACACTCAACCCTAGCTAATTATTACACCCCAATAGAAAACCACAATTGAAATAAAAATTTCGCGAACAAAAAATTGGTTTTTGAGGTGTAAGGGAGTGGGAGTTGGCCAAATTAAACCGTCCTAATATTATGTGTGTGTGGTTCTTGTTCAACTTGAGAATGCAACCAAACAATTTGGGAATTGTTATTTGCAAGAAAAAGTAAATAAATAAATAAAGGAAACATTTCTGTTCCATGAAAAGGGCATGAGTGCTTTCCAAATTCGGAGGGCAGAGCTTTAAAGCTATCCACTATGATTTTTAAATAAGGATCTATTGAAAGGTTTATAACATATGACTTCATGATTTCATTTTATATAGCTTAAATTTACTTTCTCGGGCTTATTATAGTTTTACTACAGTTTTGAATTCTAGAAATTTTAATTAAATTTTTTTTCCGTTAAATTAAGCGATTTTGGTCTAATATGAATCATATATCACATTATTATTAATAATAAATATTAGCATATTCCACCAAATAAAATTTTATTATCAGATATGCTATTAATATTTAAATAAATGAGTAATTGACACTAATATTATATATATATATATATATATATATATATATATATATATTTAAGCAATCAAACCTTTATATTGAATCAAAAGTATTAAACTTTTAAAATAAAAAGATTAAATATGTCATAGAGATTAAAATTAAATATTTATAGAATTATAATATAAGTCTTTTATATATGTATATCATTTGGTGATTAACTTTATTTTCCATCTCTTGCATTTATCAATCGGTTATGAAAGAAATGCTATGTTAGGAAATTATTTGTTTGTGTTAAAATTGTGGATCAACTGATGGTGATTTAACTACTATAAGAGGAAACATTATTCAAAATAAAGCTAAACAATATGAAAGTAATGTTTCAGTCAAAGATTTTATTTATCAATTAACTTTGTACGTTCGTTTCCTTTGTGAAAAAGAAAAATATATACCCATTAAACCATTTAAATAATATTTAGTCATCTTTATACTACGTTTATATCTTTGTTGATAATTTTTTACGTTAACAATATTGTTAATTATTTGTGTTTGAACAAGTATATAAATTTAATAATAAGATTTTATAATGACGTAAGTTGTTAATAAATGGTAATTTATAATATCAACTTTCGTTATTATACTTTTAAAAAATAAAAAAAAAGTGATAAAATTATTTATATATAAAATTTAAAAATTATTTTACTATATATATAAGAAGAAGAAGAAGAAGCATTAACAAATTATTATCCTTTCGATTATTGGCATCTTTTTGCCAAGTCCCCACTAAATTCTGATCCAACAGCCATTTACTAGACAATTGAGCCCATCAGGTAGTCCTAATCTAAGGGCACACGTGAATTCAAAATGATTGACTTAATGAGGTATTAGTTTTAGTTCATTTTTATTTTAATTCTTTTTCTTCTACCCTCGCATCACATGATGCTGAATGAAGTGAATCATCAACAAATTGAATTCATTGATATGAACATTAGGCGATTCCAGGAAAGCACTTGTAGTTCAAGTAATTAAGTTAATCTATTGGTTCATTATAGTAATGGGAAACATCCGGAAAGGAGAAAGAGAAAAGGAAGAGGAGAATGATAATTTTCAAAACAACAATTAATAATTGCTTTGTATTCGTTGAACAAAATATTAATTGTCGAAAAGACATCTTAACATGCAATTGCAATATATAAAATGACGAGCAGGTTTTAGAATCCAATCATCTAGTTTTTCCTGTACGAATTTGTCGGTACTGTTTAACAAAAGAAAAAGAACATTATTAATTGGGTTATTATTTGATTTACGAAGGTATAACATCATGCCACACGTATTGGTATGTTTTTTAGTTGATACATGGTGTCCCACCACCACCATGTTTTTCTTTCGATGCTAAACTTAGACAAAGTGCAATGCATGTTCCCCTCTTCCCTTCCATAAAAAAAAAAAAAAAAAAAAAAAAAAAAAAAAAAAAAAAAAAAAAAAAAAAAAAACAAAACAAAAGGTACGGAAAATTGCATAATTTTGAGCACATGACTAAAGCTCGATTCTGTTTGTGTTTATTTCTGTTAGCATATACTGGAAAGGAAGAAAATGGATACACTTTACAGGTGAAGATGTCCTTCAATTAGTTCTTAGTATATTAATTGGAAGAGAAAGCCTTTATAGCGTCCAGAGAAGCATCCATATCATTGAGATAATCCACTTCAAATTTCTTAATTCTATCTCTAAAAAATTATGAACTGGTTTGGAAAGTATTAGTTTTTCTTATAACAAGTCTTATTATACGAAAACTTGATGAAATCATGTATTACATAAACTCTAATTACCACTAGAGCCAATTATATCATTTCATGGACTAATAATGCCAAAACCTAAATATTACTTTGAATAGCAAATATAACATTCAGAATCTTGAAAACTACTAGACCAATTTTCAACCAGGTTTTTCCAGCTGTTTTGCACCTCCTATTTATATGTTGCCTGGCTGGTGATGTTAAATAGAATACTCAAACGTGTATTTAGCTAAAGGGTAGTTAATAACGTTTGACAGATGCCAACACAATGTTATGTGAGAAGTGGGAATAGAAAGGAAAGCGGCAAGATGGAGAGGGAAGCCACCAAAAGGGGAATTGGTAGGAGAAGAGTGATAAAGGAAAACAAGGACTAAAACAAAAATTAAGTATAAGAGGCTAGAATAAAATTTTGAATATTTAAAGGGAAATAAAAAATATTGACCGATTCGAATTGATAATGAATTGGACATATTTTTATTCAATAATGAACAAATTAAAACCAATTTATTAATTTATTTATGATTTATTAAAAAATTTAATCGGACTATGACATAAAAACCATACATCTATTATATATTTTAGTTTGGACATACCATATTAATTATTTTTAAAATCAAATAGTCCTATGTGATTATTTCAAAATATTATCTTAACCGTTAATAAATAATATATTTTTTAAATAAATAATATATTTTTTAAATAAATAATTTTATAATTTAAAATATTTATATCTACATCTTTTTTTCTTTGTTTCTTACTTTACAAACATTTTTTTTCACTGTAAAGTGTAATTATTTTAATATTTTATTTATATAACACAATTCAAAATTATTATATTATACTTTTTTTTCAATAACATTTCAATTATTATCAAATATAAAAATATTAAATACAAAAATTACTATTTCATAATAATGATAAACTAATAAATAAGTTTTAAGAAATAGTCTAATTGGCATTTAAAGAAAAATAGTTTTATCCATACCTTCAACTTAGAAATAACATTGCTTATATCGGTAAAAAGAAATACAAAGAAAAATAATCATGATTAAATTGACTTCAGAACAAAAACTTGTGAATTAGAAAAAAATAAAAAATGTTGATTCAAAAACTCTCAATCTTAATTATATCGAAAAAGTTTTCGTCGTGGTTTAAAATAACACTAAATTAAAAAAAATGAAAATTTTAAATTTTTTATTTTTAGGTAAATTTTAAAATAATTTAATTTTAAGTAATTAAGTTATTCTCGAATTTTTAAAATTTTAACGTTTTTAAAATTCATCTTCCAAACTATATATTTCACTACAAGAAAAAACGTTCTTAGCGATCGAAAAAATCGGTCAGCTAATGGCCAAAATTCGATCGCTATTCGTTAGTGATCGAAATTAGCGACCAAAATGGTTGGTCGCAAAAGGGCAAGTCGCTAATTTGTTAGCGACCGATTTACATTTCGGTCGCTAAATAGTGACCGATGAGGTGGTCGCTAAAGTGGTCACTAAATAATTTGGTCACTTATTCTTTGAAGACCAAAATAGCGACCGAAATTAATATAATAAATCGGTCAGCTAAATCGGTCAGCTAAATCCGTGGTAAAGTTTTAAAAAATAGCGACCGATATATTCGGTCGCTAATATATTAATATAATTATTTAACTAAAAATTAAAATCGATCAGCTAAATCGGTCAGCTAAATTAGAGACAATAATAGCGACGGATATAATCGGTCGCTAATATATTAATTGAATTATTTAACTAATAATATAAATCGGTCGCTAAATCGGTCGCTAAATTTAAATTGTATATTATAATAAATTTGTAGCGACCAAAAATTTGGTCGCTAATCTAACCAAATCTGAAAATTTTCGTTTAAAATTTTGTATATCCAATTTGACAAAATTTGTACCTGCTTAATTCATCCAAACATAACACAAATGAAAACTTAAGAACTAAAGTCAAATTATTCAAATCATAAAATTTGTACCTGCTTAATTCATTCAAACATAACACAAATGAAAACTTAAGAACTAAAGTCAAATTTTGTATATCCAATTTTATAAAATTTGTACCTGCTTAATTCATCCAAACATAACACAAATGAAACTTAAGAACTTAACAACTAATCAAGATTCAAAGTCTTAATATCATAAAATTGAAAATTAGTCCTCCGGTATATTGTCGGTGTCATGTTGACTTGTAGTAGGATGACTATTCATTTGAATATGTTGACATTTGAATATGTTGTTTTCGTGGACTTAAGACTATATTTCAATTGTAGAAAATGCATATATACCAAGAAAGGGTGAGACACAATAAAGGTGAACAAAAAAAAAATAGTATCATAGTAATGATACATTTCCCTTCATAAAGCTCGAATTGTAACGTCGCTTCTTTTGTGGTGTTGAATGTGCTTGTGCTTTGATCCCATATGTCTTCAATTGAAAATTTTCAAAAGCCTCCGAAATTGTCGCACCTATAGGATTGCACAAAGCAATATATTAGTGAATCCAACCTGAATGGGTAAAGGAAAGAAGTTTAAACATGCACAGGATAACTAACCAGTTCAGCCTTTTTGGAGTACACCTTAACTATCATATCTTGGTAAGATATAGGTAGCAAGTGGCTTACACGGTCATCGGGTATTGTAAATTTCTCATTGCTTTCATAATCGTGAATGCATTATTGAAACTAGGTAACTCAATACGACTAGCATAATTTAATTCCAAACTAAGCACCAATAATCGGGCCAAACTAAACCACTTTAAATATTTCAATAATTTTCAACAATTGCAGCCCAAGTATCCCAATAGAAGTAATATAAAACAGTTTAAACTAAAACTTATTAGCAAGGAAACTGTCAAACTGCATAAGGTAAGAGGTTTAATAGTGCAAAAAAGATATAATCCACTAATACAATATAGGCACGAGGCAAAACCAATTAATATATAAGAAGATTAAAGAAATATCTTGATGAAAGATAGTTAGGTAGGTTTGGCGATGTACTTTGAAAAAGTGGATGCTGCCACATAAACATGCACCATAAGAGAGAAAAATAATGCATTAGGATAACATTATAGTAAGTTAAAACAAACTAAATGTCTATGTTCAGCAAGCATGATTATTCTTCATTGAATACCTTTCAAGAGGATTATGATTTCCACTAGTCAAATCAATTTTGACGTTACAAACAACTACATCCTCCTCTTTCGGAGTAACTCCACCACTCTTCCGCGGATACATATATAAAACAAAATGAAATTCCTCCTTGAAGAGAAAGAATCAAAATTATATGCAATTTGCAAATGAGAAGGTTTAATCGGATTGAAGAGCTGAAAGCAAACAATATCTTGAGGGGTGACCTTCTTAAAATTGTCTAGCATACCCTTGGGTACTGGGTACTCATTACAAAACTGCAAAACAAAATTCTTCCTCAGGTTCAGCAAGACTATATAATTATAATTATAATTATAATTTAATAAATACACACAAACATTTTAGGCCAATGTAATGTAAATTTAGAATCAAACCGGAACCCGATTCAACCAATACAAGTAGTCAGTTTGACAATTCATACGAAAATAAACCAGACCCACACACAATTCATCCTTAACCAAGGAGAACAATCCACAGTAAAAAGGCATAAAAGAAATAGAACATAGCAGCAAAATGTGAACCGAAGGGCTTGACCCGCGACCCCTCTGACTCACCTCTAGTGCGCGGCTGGTTCAATAATGGAGGTTAGGTTGAGATTTAGGGATGGCCACGATGGTGGCCAGGGAGGCGGTGGTGATGACTGGGGTTTGGTGGAGGTTGGATTAGGGTGAGGGCTGACTTGGGGGGAGCAGTGAGGGGGCTAGGGCTCGCCGGGAGTGAGGAGGAGATACTGGCCAAGGTTAAGAGGAATGGGTGAGTGAGGCGCGAGAGTTAGGGTTATTTGGGGATAAGTGGCGCGAGATACGAAAGTGAAAAATGTGGTAGTATATGATAGCGGTTAAATCTTAACCGCTATTATATAGCACTTCTAATAGCGGTTAAATCTTAACCGCTATTATATATTTTCAAATATGATCGATCATTTGAAAATGTAATCGATCATAATAAAAAAATGTGGATGTCGCTCGAGCGAGATAAGTGTCGCTCAAGCGAAAAACAACCCGAGAATGCCAATTTTGTGCAGGTGGCCTCGCTCGGGCGAGAATAGTGTCGCTCAAGCGAAATACAACCCGAGAATGCCAATTTTGTGCAATTGTCTTCGCTCGAGCGATGTTATTTTCGCTTGAGCGAATGTTGACCTACTAACCGTCGATCAAAGTTAGCCAGATAATGTAACATGGGTGACCTCATGTTTGAATCGTATGTCGCTCGAGCGAGTATAGTGTCGCTCAAGCGAAATACAACTTCTAATAGCGGTTAACCCTCAATCGCTATCTAAAATATACTTTAGATAGCGGTTAACGTGGAACCGCTATTATATCTTCTCAATTATGATCGATCATTTCTAATTATAATCGATCATAATGAAAACTTTCGAATATTATGTTTTTAAATTATGTTTTTAAATTTGATATTAGAGAAAACATTTCGAATTCAAAATGTTAAATACTTTTAAATATTAAAATTAACTTTATCAAAAATTAGGAAAAAGAAATTAATCCAAAAGAGTTCAAAAATGTATTATAATATTGTCAATTTTGAGTTTAATTATATTGTTCATTCTCAAAGTAGAAAAATATATTGTAATTATTTTAATTTAATAAAATATAATTTTAATTTTTAATACTAAAATTAAAAGATTAAATAATAATAAATTTAATTCTTTAAATTCAGTAGTTAGAAACTAATATTATAGTTTCTCTGTTTTAAATAATTAAAATAAAAATCAAAACTAGTATTATCTTAAATTTATTAAAAGTGTAATTAAATCTCTATTTTCTTAATTTTATTTGTTTCAAACTTCTCAATTCTACATTTTTGTAAGTTCTATCATTATATTATCATCCTCATCTCCTCCCATGTTCTACTTTATCTTTACAATAGTCAATATTCTTAAATAATTTATATTTTTAATTATAATTTTTTAGTATATATTTCGAAATTAATCAATTCAAATCTATTATTTGAAAAACTAATCAATTCTAATCAATAATTTAGAAAACTAATCGATTATAATTAATTATTTGAAAACATTATCAAATATGATCGATCATTTTGAAAATCTAATCGATCAGAATCAAAAAATCTGGTTGTATATGATAGCGGTTCCACTGGAACCGCTATTAAAAGGGCACTTCTAATAGCGGTTAACCCTTAACCGCTATCTAAATTACACTTTAGATAGCGGTT